CAAAATACTCCTTGTTTCACTACTGGAGAAAATATTTAAAATTACATCCAAGTGTAGAGATCATACAAAACTTGCATGAATTTGCCAGACCATCAAAAAATGGCAAAAAGACATGGATAAACAAGGAAGCTTGTTTGAGTTGGTTAGAAGATAGAAGCATATATAGAATGTGTTCTATATATGCTTTACATGTCTTTTCAAGTAATTTACCAAATAACTACCTTTTTACTGGTTTAAGTAAATATGAATGTACCATACAATAATTAATACCATGTTAATTAGTCTCCAGATTTTTTTGTGGTTAGAGGAAAAAACATAGATCACGAGTGCTTGAAGACAACACAAGGGACTGTTTCTTTAAAGGAATACCAAAGAGCTTGTCACAGAACCAGAGTTGTTGCAGAAGGGATTTTTGTTCTCACTCGCTCTTTAAATGAGTGTACACTTTCTGTCTTTGGTTACATAAGAGAACCAAGCTAGTTTCACATTGTAATGCTGGTTGGTTTGCCAAGGACTCTCCCCACCAGTTTCAGGCCAACACATCCGTTTGCTATGGAAATCACACTAGAGACACTGTTTTTCATGTTTAAGAGGAGCCCTGATCTTTGAGGCTTTCTCTCACACCACATGTTTGGCTCCTGTATCCTTATCCACAATAGGGCAGTGGGCCAAGAAGAGATAAAGTGGCTAATTTAAAGTTGGCTGACTGCACATGGTGTACAAATCCCACAAAATCTCATCTGAACAAGTGTGAAAAGTGTCGTCTATTGACCAGAAATTGCACCACTGATGTTGCGGTCATGTTGGGTTTGGATCAACACTGTGTTTGTTTTGAAAGTGTAATTTTAAGTATTCTTATTTCTTCAGAAGTGGGATATGTGAAGAAATGTGTGACCATAGCCAGTACTCTTAGTCATTAAGTGTAGGATACAGTGTTTAACTAATTCAGAGTTAAACAGTCGGCGACTGTGATTGTATGGCAAGAGTAGTTGTCTTGTGATTGGAAGGTTGTAGGTTTAAATCCAGCGTCTTCCTGTCACATGTTGATGTGCCTCTGGGCAAGGGACTTCACCCCAAATTCACATTTATACACGGGTCTGCGTATCGATGTATAAATGTGTGTGCGAATGGGTGAATGTGACTGTAAAGCGCTTTGAGTGGTCAAAATGACTGATGTTGCAAATTTGCCCATATTGAAAAGTCTTTTTTTTTATTATTATTTTATTTGTATTCTCTTAAGCCATTATTTAAGGAACAACAATAAAATTCTGATTGAACTTTGTAATTTATCTGGGTTCTTAATAAGCATGAACACTTTTACATTTCGATTTGCCTTCCCAAAATTGGCAGCATGATGAGGAAAGAAGATTATCTGAAACTTCTAACATAAGACATCAGCCAGGAACTTGAATCTTTGGCAAAAGTAGTACTTCCAAATTCACACTGTCTGCAAATAGACAGTCAAATTAGTTACACAGCAGTTTAAGAATAACAATGTCAATATTCTGATGTGGCCATCATAAAAAAGGCCCTATCTCAGTCTAATAAAAAGTTTCTGTTCAGAGCTGAAAATATGTGTCAAAGCTAAGAGGCCAAATACCCTGACTGTTGCCAAAGCTAATGGAATGATATCCAAAACATTTGAATCAAGTCATAAAGTTTAAAGGGTAATTTTGCTAAAAAGCAAGGAAATATATGTAACTCCTGAACTGGAAGCAATTAAAATTGATCTTGTTATTTTTCGCAGATAGAATAATATATATTTTAGCAATCCCAGTGGGCCCAAAAGAGAAAAAGCTTTGTCAAATGCTTGACAAAGCTTTTTTTCTGACATGTGGGTCAGAAAAGTTGTTTTCTGACCCACATGCACATTTAGTCTATGGGAAAAGGACAAAGAGGTAAGTATGGTTTATTTCATACGATATGTGAAATGTGTGACTGAGGAGGTTCCTTCTGGTTCACCAAAAAGTGGCGTGTTGAAGAGAAGAGCATGAGAATCTCAACAAGGTTTGAATTATGTGGGAGGAGGCAGAAAGTTGGTAGCTTATGGCTTAGAAGATGGAGTGGGCGGCTGAGAGTCGGCAGGCAGGTGTAAATCAGGACACTGAAGGTTCAGAGAACAATCATGGAGAAAGTAGGCCCTGGAAGAGGTCTTGATGCTGGAAGCAAGTTTGGAACAAAAAAGTTGAGTGCAGACACGTTGACACGAGATAATTTCATTAGAGTCTACACTGGAGTAACAAATTAGATCTACTCAACAAGGTTAACTATCAGGTGAAGAGACATTGTCATGCAGCTTCTTAAATCCTAATGAGATAAATGATGCCACTGCCACTGCTTGCCCACCTCTGGAAAAGGTTGACATACTCTCCCAGAAGAAACACAAACACCCCAGGATCATGGAAAATTTAGTCTGATTTAATGTCAGAAAGGGAGGACATAAATGTCTTTTTAGACAATACAAGCAAATATCTGTTTTCCACTACACAAGAAAGACATTATCATGAATGAGCTTTTGGTTATAGGTTCAGGTGATTGATCAAATATGTTGCACAATTAATACCATATAACTTTGGAAAGTTTGTAATTCAGTCTGATATTAAATTATGTTGCAGGTGTGGGTATTTATATATTCCTTTCAGCATTGACAGGAACACAACACCCAGGTTCACACGATAACTCTCAATGAGGGCATTGTGTTCTATACAGCATGAGTGTGGGAAGAAGATTCCCGTTCTCCCTAAACAAACAGGTGATTCACTAGGTTTTGTTCTCTCTTTTTTTTTTGTAAGTTAAGCTTTTATGTTTCAGTATTACTACTAAATATTTCTCAGTAGAAATTATGATCAATGTCAGTTTTATATTTCTTTTTAGTTATGTTTGATAAAAACTTTTTTAATTTCATTCTTGTTGAACCTAATCACTGTTTTCATATGAGCCAAATTCTTGATCCTAATTCAAGTGAAATATTTAAAAATACTACTATGCATGTATTTTATAGGATTTATCCCTAGTCAGTTAGCAATAAAATAATTTTTGCTTCAAATGCTTGTGGGAATGTTGTAATAATCTTACAAAATATAATTTATGCTATAATTCAAATCAAAAAATATTTTATTGATCCCAAAGGGAAATTAAATCTCATTCTAACTTATTAAATTAAAGATTTATATGCATAATCTTAAACTTTTGTTTTGTTGATTGAGATTTTTTTGTTTTTATTGAGAGTTTCCTCTTGTTTTGATTTCTGTATTTCTGTTAATTATATTACAAGATTATAAAAATCTAGACTTTGATTTTGAAGTAAATTAATTTTGTGCCTATTTTAGGCTTACCAAGACATTTCTATAGGCTTAGGACTCCTGCACAGTTCACAGTGAGAGTTCTTCTCACAAATGGATAAAATGTGGAACAAAGATGAATTTTCTTAGGAGTCTCAAGATTCAAGAGGTAACAAAAGAGCCCTGTACAGTTTATAAAGCACTGCAAATCTTTCTTGACTTAGTTAGGGTCAGGGTTCACAATTCGACAATAACAAAAAGATTGGTTAAACTGGTGCAAAAAAAATGTAAAAAAATCAAAAGATCATACAGGTGCTGCAGTTAATGATTATTTTAGTTATTGATTATTTTATGTTTTATTCTGACAATAAAACAACAAAAAAAGGCACACTTCCAGCAGATTTTTTATTTAGCTATTTTATTTTATGTTAGAAATACAAAAGAAAATCTGAATGGTAAACTATTTCAATTCCTTTTTAAATTGTGAAAGTACACATATTACTGCATGAAATATATATATTATTATAGATCATATTATTCCCACCTTATCACTTGTAACTATACCAGGTTGCTGTGTATTGCAGACTTCTGCCCAGGTCCCTCTTGAAAATGAGATCCAGATCTCAACAGGGTTTACTTGGTTAAATAAAGGAAATAAAAAAATAATTTAAAAAAGGATGCACCTGCAGGTAAAAAAATACTCAGCTCTTTCTGCTTGACTTAACATCAATACAGTGTAAGGTTCATCTGTTTATTTGGTTTATTTTTTTGAAAAGGCAATTAATAACTGAATGGAAGAAGGTGTTTAGAAAATTCCTTGCTACAGTACGTGAACCTTGTGAAGCTAAAACTACACATTTTAAAGTACCATGTATAGAACATATTTACAGACATACTTTTTAAAAAAATCTTAAATGGCAAATGTAAATAGTTTTTGTTCAGTTTTGCCTTAATCATTGCACTGAATATAATGTTCGACAAATGACTTTTTTTGTTGCTTTTTTTCTGTCTGTATAATTCAGTTAATTCTTATTTGATTACTAAATTAGTTGATAATTATTTAAATTGTTGATTACGTATAATTAATATAATTAATCCACCATCTCAAGGTTGAATAAATAAATAAATGTTTTTTGTATTCTAGTTAAGGTCCTGGAAGACTTACTGCCATTTATTAACATGGATGCTGTTAACATTAACATGGATGCTCGCAGTTGTTGCCACGAACAATTATGCTTATTAGGCACTTAGTTTATTTTTCCGTATGTTACAAGAACCTTTAAAAAATAAAAATAAAAATAAAATAAATCTAGAAGGGAGTGAATTATCGTCAAACCTGAATTTAAATAAAATGGTACTTTTTTTCAGCTGTAAATGTTGAGCTGACACAGTGGTGGTAATTTGGCACCAGGTAACCAAAACTATTATAAGTATGTTAAAGAGCTAATTTCTTCTTTAAATAAGGTGGACACAGTTTGTAATAGTTCTATTGATGTCGCTTCCACAGAAGCGATTTACATGTGTATTATTATAACCCAGGTGAACAGTCAGCCATACAAGCCTTTTCTCTCGTCCCTGATCTATTCTTACTACTGATTCCCATCCTCCTGCTGTGTGAAATCACACGCTGACCTCTCTTCCATCACAGTCCCCGCCCATTCGACACCACGCCGACCTGACAACTGTCAGCACATCTGGCCAATGAGAATTCAGTTTGCCATTTATGGCACAGCTCATTACCCAATCACGTGTCATAAGAGGCGGGCGCGTTGTGGGCCTGGTTTTCAGGTTTGGTTGCTGAGGTAAGCTGCCGTTTGAAATTTCTGACTTTTCTCTCACAATAATTTTATTCCCCTTTGTGTGTTTGCGCAGACTATCGTAAAATACGGCTGTGCGATGTTGTTTTAGTTAAGATAAAGTGTGTTTGCCGGGTAACAGTCGCTCAGAGCTTGATCGGTGAAGCGCTGCAAAGTATCTCAAGCATAGAGAACAACGGTGATTTTTCCCCCCCCAACTATGACAACCGTTTATTGATTCCGATCAATGGCTGTATCGCATCTAAAAATGTTGAAACGTATGTAAGCAGCTGTGTGTGAATCATCACCTCTATATAAACAAGTTATTTCATTGTAAGTTTATATTATAAATAGACATTTCCTTTGTTGGTCAGTATATAAACAAGCTGCTTTTTATTTTTCTGTTGTTCAGCTTAATATAGCTAACTCCGACAGGTTTGTTTACATATGTTTTGGCCCGTTGCTGGTGGCTCTCTGCATGCTGACAAGGAAGAAACACGTGTGAACAGAAACCTAACGTCCAGCACAGTCTGAGAGAGTAATTATCTGTTGTTTGCACAATGTTGTGCTACTTTCAGAGTGCCAATACACCCTGCTGTTTGAGGTGACTTAACTGCCGATCAGAGGAGACCACACACAACCACACCTCTTGTACAAGCAGACTTCTCTACCGGATGGTTTTGGACACGATGTGGAAGCGGAGAACTTTTTACTTTTGGCATTTTTAAACGGGATGGATTTTGAGAACACATAACTCGGATATACGTTTTGTATTTTTGCTGTTGGGATTTTTTTTTACCCCCTTATTTGGAGTTAATCAAGTTTGAAGTTTGCTTCTGGAAGGGAACTGACTTCAAGAACTAAAATGGACCAAGCCAGCGGTGGGGAGGATCCCAACAAGCCCTCCAAAAAGAAGTCCAGTGAGGATGAGGGTAAAAATAAAAAGCTGGTGGGTATTCTAAGTATATCACATTTGTTGCATGACATTTCAATTTAAAAGAGCAAGTTTCAGAAAGTTAAAGTATCTGTAGAGCTACAGAACACTGTCAACACACAACAACAGGCTCTAAAGGTATTGATGTGTTATTGTTATTTAATGTATTCCCTACAGAGTGGGTATAATAGCAGTCAGAGTTTAGCAAATCAGATACTGTTATGCTGAGTGCTTCAATTTTCAAGGCACTAAGTAGATCATGTGATCATCTTATCAATGCTTTTCCTGAAAGTTTTTTTTTTTTTTTTTGAAGAGTGCTCTTGTTGTGACAGCTGGACCTGTATGCGCTCACATGTTCATACAGACCTTGTTACTGGATTACTTATTGCACGGTGCGATGCACGTGGTTATTGTGGGGCTTTTATTAACCCTGTGAGTGTGTTTGATTGATAAAGGGTGACCTTAGTCAGCTTCAGGGCAGTGTCTGTCAGATAACAACTGTAAACTTCGGTTGGCATTGGTTCATTTCTGGCATCCACATCTGCTCGGCCTGGTGATGTAATCTAGATATAGAGAGAAGTGTGCATATTTGAAAAGGAGTCCAACCGGAGTCTGACATTAGTGGTCCACTGGTGTTATCAAGCAGTTCCTTTCTATCAGTAGATGTGGTTATAATTGAGGGTTTTATTGGTACTTCGCAAAGTTTACATTTTCCAATATGATAACCAAGCTTGAGCACGACATTAACAACAAAAGAGGAAATAGAATACATTCCACTTACATGTCACTTCACAGCCAAAAATGTCAATGGGTTTTATTCTTATACTGTTTAAAAGATAATGCAAAGTAATGAAGTCTTGTGAGGTACGAAGGCTGATGTCCAGCAACCTTTAGATGTGTCTGTACTTCATCTCAGCCAAGTCATATTATTAGGTCATTAGTACAAATCTGTAGAACTTGACTGCAAACTGAGGAGATAGTTTGGCCATTTCAATCATGGAAACGTCTAAAAGTTGAACACCCCTGTTTTACAATATAGCTCAAAGTCAGAAAGATTGGATTAAAAGCAATTCTGAACATAAGATTTCAAAAATTACCACAATTTTTTAATTTGATATATGTCTGGAGTTTGACTGGGGCATTCTAACCCTTAAACATACTGCAATCTGAAACATTACACTGTAGCTCTGCGTTGTCGTGCTGGAAGGTGAATCTTTGCCCTAGTCTCAAGTATTTTGTGACCTAAGATTGTCCTGTGTTCAGCACCATTTAATGCTGATAAGGTTTCTCGTTCCAGTCAAGGATAAAATATTCCCACACCATAATGCTGCCACCCCAAAATGTTTCACTGGGAGGAACGTTATTTTTGGGGTGCTATGCACTGTTAGCTTTCCATCAAACATCCATAGAGGCCAATAGATTTTATTTTGTTTTCTCAACTGATTAAATCAACTTCTTCCACATGTTTTCAAACTTCCACAGTAATATTTTTGAGCTGACTGGTGTGCTCTTTAGTCTTCTTGATGCTGTGAATGTGGAAAAAGTTCAAGGCGTATGAGTACTTTTGCAAGGCAATATAATTGGAGTTAGTTAGTGTCAGGATGATCTAAAACTAACAGTTACCGCATTAAAGGCAGCGTTGAGGACACTGTTCATCTCTGCTCTTTGTAGATGTCGAAACTACTGTTGGTGAGTGATTGCACAATTAAAGACAAAAAGCGTCCCATAGTGTTCTGGTTTTCTCACTAGGAGTTGGAGCGTGAAGTTATTGAGGAAAATCTGACTGCATCTGAGTGACATCAGTTGTTAGCTGCCAATAGCAAAGCAGAAGCATATGCTAAAACGATGTTTTCTGTTTCAGTACATCTTAAAATAGATTTGCTTATTCATGAGTTTTGATTTCCCGAGTATTTTCCTGTGTTCAGTAACTTCTATTTTCTAAATGGCGAACAAATTGCATAGCTTTCTATCAGTTCTGAGAAGCACCACCTCTTCATGTAATTTGCTACAATTTTATCAATTTTACATTCAGGCCATCAGATAGAAATCCTCTGTCAACTTTGAAGTAATCAGTTTGTTTAGCCAGCAATAATTATTGTTTTTGGCTGCATAAAGCCTTTCTTTATGTGGGAAAGTTCTTTTGCATCAACTCCATGTCAGACACTGATCCCAATAGATTTCACTGTCTGCTGATAGTACACTGTGGACTTCATTGCAGTGTGTGGACTGATGCTAAAGTTTCCTCTGTGGAAGCAGAGATGGGATTCAACTTCTATAGCAAAATTATAATCGTCTCAGAAGTTCTCTGAAGGAATCAATCAAGCAAAATCTAATGGCACTTGCTTATGCTGCAGTCTCCAATGATTCATTTGATCATGAACAAACATCCAGTCTGAATCCATGCCTTGATTGAGATCACCCAAGGATGCAGTGGGTCAGCTGAGGTCATTTTCAGTGTTTGACATGGATTTCTTTGTAATTGGACAGTTCATAAGTACATCAGAGCATAAAGGCCTTTATAGATACAAGACAAAAAAATCATGGACTTGGAGGAATAAATTTGTCAGAACAAATATATTTCTAAATTAATTTCACATATTTGCAAGAAAAAATAGAATATTTTCCTAATATAATGTAAACAGCTGTGAATTTTATTTTGTATTTATTAAAAAAGGGCGCTAGTTTGTTCAAAAGTTTTTTTCTCATTCCATTTTCAAGTCAAAAGTATGCGGTTGTGATACTTGTTAAATCAGGTGAATAAATTTGTGAAATGTTGTAGATTTGCAAGGAAAAATTTGCATTAAGCCAAAGATCTGTGAAGGGGAAAAAATACTTCAATTAGACAAAAACTCTGAATTTATCTAAGATTATAAAGTCAAAAATTTGTGGTAAAAATGTCAAAATTCCTCTTAATATTAAGTAGTAGATACTACTTAATACTTGCATTTCTAATAAAAACCTTAGTCCCAATACTAAACATTTATTACTGCTTGTTTTCATAGGTCAAACACCAAATATACCTTAACATGCAGTAATGTATAAACTTTGGAAACCATCTTTGTAGTACCACAGAAGCTAACACCCACAGTCTTCCTTATTTTCTCTCTTAGGATACAGCCAATCTGCACGAAGGAAAAGGAATGGTGCTCCTGGATTGGCTGTATTAAATAGCAATGCCCCATCCCCATCTGCAAATAGATGAATAATAAAATAGCCATGAATACTGTACAACAAATGGAGGGAGTTTGCAGTACCTAGTGTTCCAAAGATGCTCTTTGTTGGAATTGTCTTAACAGTGAGATTGTCTTGCTATTATGAAAGTCCTTGTTTGACTCCTTCACAATAAAAAACAAACCAAAAAAATCAATGTATTTTCTAGGATTATCTTAATCTGAGGATTACAGGGCAGTGCTTGTTTTAGTTTTGGAGTTGACTACACCCGATCTAGTTACTCTATTGTAATTGTTCCTTGATAATCCTTTATAATCAGTCTCAAATCTGTTTTGCTCCTCTTTTTTAAGTGTTGTGGCCTAAGTATCTTCAAAAATAACTACTTCGGTGAATAGATAAATCTTCCCCTTACTGGCTCATTATATTTGTGATTTTTAAAGATCTTTCTACAAATTTTATTTTTGCATGTACAATAACTCGATCTGGTCGTTATGGTCTGACCAGATGAGCTTAAATCTGTCTACTTGTACTAGAATCATCCAGGATTTATGTCAATGCAAAGACTGAACAGGCTTGTAGAGTGACTGATTAAAAGAGGCCCGGATGCATTTATGCACCATGTGTGAAAACACTGAGTATCCATTTGCAATTGGATCACCCAACATGTGTGATAAGACCACAGTGAAAAGGGCAGCGCAACCACAAGACTCGGTCTGGGAATTTATGAACATCTTGACTGTTAACTTATGCTCCTCTAATGTGGCGTTTTCAGCTTGCAGTAAATGGTTTGCAGGCGCAAAGTCGAGACAAAGTTTGGCGATAAGATGTGCCAGACAGGAAATCCCAGACTGGACTGAAGTTGCATATTCTCCCAGAGCTCGGGTGGTGTTTCAAGAAACTGTGATGACTTCACCACTTAATATCATCTCTGAGGAGCTTGTGTAAGACGAGCGGTTTTGGCTTCTGAAGGCAGTCTCATGGCCAGGCATGTTCCCCGTTGCTCAATCTTACTCAAGTCTAAGTAGAACTGTTTGCAGAAATCTTAACAGAGCTCTGACTCGAGGGAGGAAGTGATTATTCACTCCTGGGAGGAGCCTTGATTTGTTCTCTTCTGTTTATTCCCACTACAAGTCACCTATTTTTTGCGCCATAGTTTCATTGTAAACATGTAAAACTCATGAAACATTTAAATGTGACAGATTTTGATGGTTTCACATGTAGTAACACAGATGAGTAGTTTAGGCTGATAAAATAACTCAAGATGTTACCAATATATTTGGGGTTAAATACTTAAAATCCCATGCAGATTCAAGAATAGGCTAATGTCCATCATCACCCACTCATTTCTGCCTAAAGCAAAGTTAAAGTCGGGCTTTAAGTGAGACGCTCTGAGAACTGAGTGTTTATTCAACAGGTTTCTGTGCATGATTACATCATTTGGATTACGAGGCCTCATGTTGCAGAGACTCAGCCAAGGACAATCACGTAACTCCTCAGTGTTTTGAGAGAAATTCACCTCAAAACCTGCCAGCTTTCTGAAACTGTTTCCATACTGTTGTTGAAGTGATAACATGGCACCGTGCCATTCATTGGAGCAGGAAGATGGAATGAGATATTTAAAGGGATTTAGTTGTGCTTGTTTGGCAAGAAGGGAGAAATTTGTCCTCTGTGCATATTTTCAAAAAAGAAAAAAAAAAGATGACCTCAGAGTGCAAATTGAGAAAGAAATACCTCCCACTCTCTTAAAAAACAAAAATAATTGGAATTTATATTTTTTGACAGACCATGCATACTTTTAATCTACATTCTTATGAGTTTTAGATAGCTTAGAAAAAACAATGATG